AGGGAAAGCAACAGCGGCGGGTGCCAAAGGTGTCTGCAGCAAAGGTGTTTGGTGGGAGTAGGGAGCTCTCCGCGCTTCGCCATGATCGCCCGTTAGGAGCGGCTTGTGGCAAGGAATTCCTGCCCGCCGGGCGCTCCTAACGGCAAGTCTCCCGCCCTTCCCCCTTATTTTGCATATTTTAAGATAGGCCTAAATTTGGGAGGAGGGGCTTAATTTGATTTTATGCCCCAAAAACATGCTGGGCCTTCCTATTGGTGGAGGCCGTATTGTTGGAGAAACACGGTATTTTGGCTGAGGAATTCTGGGAATTGAAGCCCATATGTCAAAAAGTTTCCCAGTTTGGAGATCCTCTTAATTTGATGCTTCACTCTTAGCTAATGCAGTCCTGGGCTGCATCAACAGAAGGATAACATCAAGATCATACCATTTCATACTAAGTAGTGAGGCCACACTTGGAATAATTGGATTTTATGAGTTTTATTGTTTTAAATTGTGGTTTTATATGTTGTAAGCCGCCTTGAGTCGACATGGCGAATAGGCAGCAATACAAAACGAATAAATAAAAATAAATAAATACCGCATACAGTTCTGGTCACCAAGATGCAAAGCAGATGTTGAAACCTTAGAATGTGTGCAGAGAAGACCAACAAAGAGGATGAAGGGTCTGGAGGCTAAATGGTATGATGAACAGTTGCAGGAACTAGGAATGTCTACACTTATGTCTACCTTAACCATTTGACCAGACTGGTATAAGGTCTTCTGCAGGGGTGGGATTCAATTTTTTTAACAACCGGTTCTGTGAGCATGGCTAGGCGGGCGTGGCCATGGGACTGGGTGGGCATGGCTTCTTTTTTTTGCAGCACCCCCCCCCCCCCCCTTTTTTTTTTGCCTCCTGGGCCTCAGGCCAGCCTTTTGGGGCGGGGTTTGCTCCCGGTCTAAACCGGGAGAATCCCACCCCTGGTCTTCTGCCTTGAGGAGAGGATTGGACGAGAACAGGGGTGTCAAACTCGCAGTGTCCCGTTGTCGTCACATGACATATCACGACTTTTTCCTCCTTCACTAAACCGGGGGTGGGTGTGGCCAGCATGTGATGCATCTAGATGCCATTTTGACACCTCTGGACTAGAAGATCGCCAAGCTTCCTTCCAGGCCTATTATTCTATATTTCGTAGCGGACAAAAAGGAACTAGAGTCTAGGGCAGGGCTGTCAAACTCCTGTCCTGCAGGCCGGATGTGCCACGCTCTGGCCAGGCCCATGCCCCAGTGGTGGGATTCTGTGGGCGTGGCTTGGCTTGGTGGGCGTGGCTTAGTGGGTGTGGCAGGGGAAGGATACTGTCAGGATTCCGGGAGTTCTGAATTGACAGATACTGCAAAATCCCTATTCCCTCCCCACCTCACTAACCTGCTTTCCAGCTCCATTCTCCTGTGTAGGGCAACAAAAGATGACCCAGCTGATCAGTTGGGACTCAGGAGGCAGAGAATAGATGGGGGTGGGGCCAGTAAGAGGTGGGATTTGCCGGTTCTCTGAGCTACTCAAAATTTCCGCTACCAGTTCTCTAGAACTGGTCAGGATATGCTGAATATCTGCTGAAAGTCCTGATATGTCACGGGACGCCGCCATGACAACGTGAGATTGACACTGCTGGTCTAGCGGGACACATGTGATATTGTTGTTTAGCTTTGTTTGGCTTGTTTCCAAAATTCAGTTTCCTCTCCATTAAACAGAGGAATCACATGCAGTGAAAAATGTAACTTTCCTGCATGTCTGTGTTCCTTTTTCAGCCTTGTGACACTTCCTGTCCCAGAATGAAGTTTACAAGTTAATATTTCCATTGACTAAGGAAAAAAATAAATCCAATAAAATCCCCAACCCAATAAAAATGATCTTCTGACCTCTCTTTGCTTTTCTCATACCCGGAGATGCATGGTAACCATCTCTAAATACCGTGTTTCTCATAAAATAAGGCCGGGTCTTATATTTTTTTGAGCCCTGAAAAAACGGCTAGGCCGTCTTTTTGGGGGTGACTTAATTCCCCCCCTTGCATCCTCATCTAGAGTGCCCCGTGGGCAGCCTCGCCACCAGCCGCTCCTAATGGGTGATCATGGAGAAGCGCAGAGAGCTCCCTACTCCCACCAAACACCTTTGCTGCAGACCTAAGACCTTTGGCACCCGCCTCTGTTGCTTTCCCTTCTGCCCATTCCGCCGCCACGTTTGGAGTGCCACTGCCATTTGGAGTGCCGCCGCCATTTGGAGCACCGCCGCCATGTTTGGAGCTGCCGCTTCCGTGTTTGGAGTGCCGCTGCCATTTGGAGTGCTACCGCCATTTGGAGCACCGCTGTCATGTTTGGAGCTGCCACTTCTGTGTTTGGAGCTGCTGCCGTGTTTGGAGTGGCAGCGGCGCTCCAAATGGTGGCGGTGCTCCAAACAGTGGCAGTGCTCCAAACGCGGAAGTGACAGCTCCAAACACGGCGGCAGCTACAAATACGGACAGGGCAACTCCAAACAGCGGCAGTGCTCCAAACAGCGGTGGGGTTCCAAACACGGAAGCGGCAGCTCCAAACGCGGCGGCAGCTCCAAATGCGGAAGCAGCAGCTCCAAACAGCAGCAGTGCTCCAAACAGCGGCAGTGCTCCAAACATGGAAGTGGCAGCTCCAAACGCAGTGGCAGCTCCAAATGCAGAAGCAGCAGCTCCAAACGGCAGCGGTGCTCCAAACAGCAGTGGTGCTCCAAACGTGGAAGTGACAGCTCCAAACGTGGCGGCGGCATGGGCAGAAGGGAAATCAACAGCGGCGGGCGCTGAAGGTCTTGGGTCTGCCACAAAGGTGCTTGGCAGGAGTAGGGAGCTCTCCACGCTCTGCCATGATCGTCCATTAGGAGCAACTGGTGGTGAATAATTGCTGCCCGCGGGGCCCTCCTAACGGCAAGTCCTCCCGCCCTTCCCCCCATTTTGCATGTTTTAAAATAGGCCTAAACTTGGGGGGAGGGGCTTAATTTCATTTTATGCCTAGAAAACATGCTGGGTCTTTCTATTGGGGGAGGTCGTATTGTTGGAGAAACACGGTAATTCCAAAGGGTTCCTTTTAAACTGTGTGACATGACTTGGTTTACATTAGTAATTACTGAGACCAAGTCTATGAAAGCATGATAAATAAGTTTGTTTGTAGTTTTAAGGAGCTCTCTGGGGCTTCACCATAATTTCAAATAATTCCTTTTCTCACAGAGTTACATTTAAAATGTACAGTCCTAAAGGTCTCCTGGGAATATGTTCTCCAGTGCAATAAAATATACAACCCGTAATATTTCCAGTATGTTTTTGTTTGACGTGAAAAGAATTCTTTTCCCTGTTAAGGAGAAGTCCGGCATTGCTTTATTATTATTATTTATTCTGGCAGAAAATAATATTGAAACATTGTGCTGTACAGATTCTGAAATATTTGGTATATAAAATGAATGGGTGGTTTGTGTTTATTTTTCACAGTTTTTATGAATGCAGCTATACCTATTGCAGCTGTTCTTGCGGTAAGAATGGTTTTGGGAGTGGGTGGGTTGATGCACGGCAATATAAAATACGTTTGGGATCTTTATTTTTTTCCAATAATCTCTATTTCTTGAAGTACAAATCAGGGAGTTTTGATGTCCAAAGAGTAGACCAAAATGGTGTCCAAAATCCTTAGCAAGGATCTGAGTCAATTTGGTCCAGTGGTTAAGGCACCAGCCTAGAAAGCAGAAGACCATGAGTTCAAGTCCTGCCTTAACCATGAAAGCCAGCTGGGTGGGTGACTTTGAGCCAAACCACCAGGCGAGTGTGAGTTCTAGTCCCGCTTTAGCCATGAAAGCCAATTGGGTGACTTTGGGCCAGTCCGTCTCTCAAAGCTCACGCCACCTCACAGGGTTGTTGTTGTGGGGAAAACAGGAGGAGGAAGGTGTGTGTTGGATAGGTTGCCACTTTGGCTAATTTGCAAAAATAAGAAAGGCGAGATAAATAAAATTAGTGGAGCAGATTGTATACTTATCACAATAAAGAAGGTTTCTTTACAGGAAATACGTTATAAGGACAAGCAAAGCTTAGCATTTAAAAGCTACATCCTACCATAGGGAAGATCCTTGAGTCCAAGGAAGAAAGGCAGAGGGACATCTATCTGCCTGATATTTCTAAATGATGTGAACTCTTACTCCTTTTTGTCTCACATCACATTGCACATCAGAAAAGGGACTCACAACTTGCCTTGCTACAGTGCAGTATTCCTTTTTACCGATCTCCCCTCTTTTGACCTCTCCTGCGGACAGTTGTTGATGTACATTCCATTTATATCCATCATTTTTGAAAGGAAGGATATCTGAATAAGGCTAGCAGTGCTTTGAATTTGATTCCCAAAAATAGGACCTCTGCAGCAGGGGTGAGCTTTAAAAATTTCAGCAACGGGTTCTCTGTCCGGTTACTGGGTGGGCGTGGCCAGGGTGGGCATGGTTTAGTCGTCATCCTGCACCACAGCAGGTGGGGGGGTGTTTTCACTCTCCCCGGGCTCCGGAGGCTTTCCTCAAACCTCTGGGAGGACGAAAACAGCCTCTCCCGGGCTCCGGAGGCCCTCCAGAGCCCTGTTTCCGGCATTTTTGAACTTCCAGGAGGCCCGTTTTTCTCCTTCCCCAAGCCGCCACGCAGGCTCTGCACTTAGCTCGCGTCCAAAACGGGCTGTGTGGAGTCTCCTGGGAGGGATGGGGTGGGAGGGGCTGGATGGGCGGGCAGAGCCAGCCAGGGGTGGGATTTGGTGGTTCTCTGAACCAGCCATAACGTTAGCTACGGGTTCTCCCAAACCCAGGCAAACCTATGGAGCAGCTCACCCCTGCTCTGCAGCTCTTTAAAGCAGCTAGGTTTCCCCCTGAGAGGCAGCTCCTTTGGAGGACTCTGATGTAAGACATTTCATGGGGGTTCATAGATACAGGAGAGGAGAGGGTTTAGAAGCTGATAACTGCAGAAATGTGGAGGTAATCCCACCACCTCTGTGAAAAAAAACGTAAAGAAGAACATCAAGTGGTCTTTGAATTGAGTTTAAGACCCCATGCTTTTTTTGAAAAAACATTTGCCTCTACTTATATCTTTTCTTGATGTACTAGACTTTTGTGACCTACACATATGCCGAAGATACACAGCTGACTACAGCTCAGGCTTTTGCGTCTCTCTCCCTGTTCCACATCCTCGTTACACCCTTGTTCCTGTTGTCCACCGTTGTTAGATTTGCTGTCAAGGCCATCATAAGGTAAGTGATATAATGCTTTAAAACAGAGCAGTTACAATTTAACTAACAAACCATGTTGAAAAAGAGTGGAGTGGAGTAGAGTAGAGTAGAGTAGAGTAGAGTAGAGTAGAGTAGAGTAGAGTAGAAGAGAATGTAGAGGAGAATATAGAATAGAATAGAATGGAATGGAATGGAATGGAATGGAATAGCAGAGTTGGAAGGGACCTTGTGTCAGGTTTCCAAGTGATGAAATCCATTTAAAAAGAAAAGAACAAAGTCCATCTTCCAAGCCAATTTCTTTTATTTAGGAAAGCATCAAATTGGCAAAGTCCATGATAATTGCAGATCTGACACAACCTGGAATTACCCCACAATATTAGAAGTTAGAAACAACCCTCAAAAGTCACATTCTCCAATAGAAGTAATTCAACGTTGCTTGATGACATAAATCTCCACCTCCAGGGGCCCAAGCCCGGACAGCTCGTTTCCCACGGGAAAGAAGAACCACCCAGCCTAAACAACTCTCTCTATCTCCACTCCTCCCCCCTTAGGAATGTGGCAAGCCCGAAACCCTTTCCCCCATAACTGCCAAAGAGAAAGTAAGAAAAAGAATATATACTAAGCCTAACTAAAATGGCTACACATAGGTCAATCTCGGGCTTGACACCTTTGAGGTCTTCTAGTCCAACCCCCTGCTTAGGCAGGAAACCTTATACTGTTTCAGACAAATGGTTGTCCAATCTCTTCTTAAAAACTCCGGTATTGGAGGTTTTGCAACTTCTGGAGGCAAGTTGTTCCACTGGTTAATTGATCTAACTGTCAGGAAGTTTCTCCTTAGTTCTAAGTTGCTTCTCTCCTTGATTAATTTCCACCCATTGCTTCTTGTCCTGCCTTCATGTGTTTTGGAGAATAACTTGACTCCCTCTTCTTTGTAGCAGCCCCTGTAAATTGGAGTTTGCCCAATGGGACAACCTCACCATTACGCCTTCTTCCAAATAATTGGAATTGTGGAGATCACGGAACATTCCTGATGTTCCTTCAAAGAGTGGGTTCCCATGACCATCTTCATCATTGTGACTGCATGTATGAATGCAGTATTACCCAAGCTTGACAAGTAGCCCTCGATTTACAAGCACAGTTGAGCCCAACGTTTCTGATTTGCTAAGCAAAATTTGGATGCTTAGCAACTGATTCATATTTATGACAGTGGCAGTGTCCCGGGGTCTTGTGATCACATTTTGTGACCTTCTGACAGGCAAAGTCAATAGAGAAGCCAGATTCACTTAACAACTGAGTTGCTGACTTACCAACTGCAGCATTTCACTTAACAGCTATGGCAGGAAAGGTCATAAATTGGGACAAAATTCATTTCACAACTCTGGACTTAATAATTGTAAGTCCGGGACTACCCGTATATCAGAAAAAAACATATTGTGACAAGCAGAATAAATCAGTAAGCACCATTAATTTGATCCTGAACTCCACTTCTGTTAACACCATTTATGCAGTATTTTTTTTTCCATAGCTTCTGTTCATACATCATGGTCCCTATCTTGAATATTTACAAAACATGCATAACATATTCCACTGGGAATCATACCAGAATAAATGACGCTATTCAGTCTATTTAATCTGACCAAATTTGTGGCTTGTCCAACAAACCTGATTTGTTCAGCAAATGTGCTTTATCACTGGAAGTATTTTAGATGATTAATTCTTCTTGGGACCATTTCCCCACCCCACCCCAATGCTCAGCTTCCTCTCAAGCATGGATGCCCCATGGCAGCCGATAGCTTGAGACAAAAATCAATTCAACAATTATGAACAAATTCCTGAGGTTTGGCAGTGGTGGGATTCAAATTTTTTTACTACTGGTTCTACGGGCATGGCTTGGTGGGCATGGCAGGGGAAGGATACTGCAAAATTCCCATTCCCTCCATACCCCACTAACCTGCTTTCCAGCTCCCTTCTCCTGTGCAGGGCAACCAAAGAAGACCCAGCCGATCAGCTGGGACTTGGGAGGCGGAGAATAGATGGGTGCGGGGCCAGTCAGAGGCGGGATTGGCTGGTTCTCCGAACTACTCAAAATTTCCATTACCAGTTCTCCAGAACCAGTCAGAACCTGCTGAATACCACCTCTGGAACAAACAAAATAGAGCACGAAAGCTTTGACATGTCATAATAAATGATTTGTATATAAGTTGTTAGAGACTGGCTAATTTATTTTTTTCTGGTTTGAACTTAGATACAGCTCCATTCTTTTGTTTAATTTTGGTTTTTGTTCTTCACCCGAAATGTCTCTGAACGGCTTTATATCAGAGAACATTCTGGGAAAAAATATGGAAGCTGGAAAAAAAAAGTATAACAAACCGATGGAAGACCCAAGCCTTATTTTTTTTTTTCAAATCCCATAAAATCAGGTGGGTGGGAATGTGCCAATGCCACCACAAGAAACCTAGACAAAACTCCTTTTTAATTCTAAACATGGTATTTGGTCTTCTTCCTTCCAAATAGTCCAAAAGAAAAGAAAACCAAATAAATCTTAATGTTGTATAAAGAATCAAGATTCCTCACTGTGTGCGCGCTATATTTAGCATCCTGTAATTCCAAAACCAGCAGGTCCATTGCATTGTGGGTAATTTAGATGAAGAGGTTCGGTGTTTGCCAAGACAAAACACAACTTTTTCAAAGATTAATTTTCTCTCTTTTGCCCTTAATAGCCAAAATCATTGCAGGAGGATAAATAATGCTTGGCGCTTCATTTCCTTCTACTTTAACCGAGTTATCATCCATCAACTTAGTTTATAGAATGAAGTGCGCTGTACCAAGAGTAATTAAATCTATGTATGTTCTCACCAAACTGTCCCAAAGGTATTTTTCCAAAAGGCAACAGGACTTTCTTGGTTTTTTTCCCCCTGGAAAATGTTTCGCTTCTCATCCAAGAAGCTTCTTCAGTTCTTCAGAGAAGAAGTTCCTCAGAGAGAACTGAAGAAGGTTTTTGGATGAGAAGCGAAATATTTTCAAGGGAAAAAAATCCAAGGAAGTCCAATTGCCTTTTGGAATAGCACCTCCGGGACAATTATGACCTGGATGATTGAGATTCTCTATAGACCTTCCTACCAAACTGTTCCATTTCATTTGGTGAAGTTGCCTTACTTTTCTAGTTTACTACTAAAGAATTTTCTTCAAATGGCTGCCCTTTAGGACAGCATAAAATACCTGTTTTTCCAAAAAGCCCAAGGTCAGAGCGATTTCTGAATCCACAAGAGCAATGCAAATTCCTTTTTTTTTTTTTTTTTGCATTCCTGAAATTCTGTGTTTGTTACTATCACTTCTTTTTTTAAAATGCTTGGTTTTCTATAAATTGTTTTCAAGCTCGAAAGAGTAGATATCTGGTGCCGGTGAATGACCGGAATTTGATTTCGCATCATTAGATTTGTCTTCATTTGTTTTCAAACTTTTATACATTTTGGATCATTGGCGATTAAACAGTTGGGAAGCTTATAATTATCAATATATCAGATAATATTGGCATAATATCAAGGGCCGCCAAGATTATATTTACAAACCCATATTGGGAAAAATTAATTTAAAAAGTCTCTCTCAGTAAGAGTGGAAATGTGAGGAAGACTGGTATTTTTATTATGACCAATACCGACTGACAGAATAACAGAATTGGAAGGGACCTTGAAGGTCTTCTAGTCCACCCCCTGCTCAAGCACCCGTGATGGCGTACGTATGGCACGTGTGCCACAGGTGGCACTCAGAGCCATTTGTGTGGGCACACGAGCCCCAGCCAAACTTATCTGCACTGCACATGCGTGTGCCTCCCAGCTGATTTTCAGCCCATTTGAGGCCTTTACAGGAGGCTGAAAAATGAGCCTTCCGGAAATACTGGAAGTGCCGAAACAGGCCCATTTTTTGGCCTCCAAAGGCTCCAAAGGCTTCCCTCGAGCCTCCGGGAGAGTGAAAACGGCCTCACCCAGGCTGTAGAGATCCTCCAGAGGCTGAAAACAGGCACTTCTGGTATTCCCGGAAGGCCCGTTTTTCGGCCTCCCAAGGCTGCAGAGACCTCCCTCGAGCCTCTGGGAGGTCGAAAAAGGCCTCAAACAGGTCAAAAATCAGCTAGGAGGTGCGCACATGCGCAGTGCAGGTAAGGGGGCAGGGGAGTGTTGCACGCACATTCATGGGGGGGCGCATTGCATTGTGGGTGCCGACACACACACACACACACACACACACTATCACACATGCACACACTTTTGGCACACCACAAGAAAAAGGTTCGTCATCACTGCCCTACACCATTCTGGACAAATGGTTGTCTAATCTCTTCTTAAAAACCTCCAGTGATGGAACACCCACAACACTTTAAAAGTATCTTAACAATTTTGTGTGTTATCACTGTTTTTTTTTTCCCTGTTTTCTAGTGTGCAGAAATTAAATGAATTTCTCCTAAGTGATGAGATTGGAGATGATAGTTGGAGAAATGGAGAGAGCCCATTGGCATACGAATCGTGTAAGAAGCACACAGGACTAGTAAGGGATTCTTTTTCTTAATTCTTTTATTTTAAGCTTCAAAATATATTACTGGTTTAAGTTTACTGGTAACCAGTTCCCCATACTATTTTTTTATAAGAGCTCTTTGGAGACTATGGAATGATCTCACTGAAATGGATGAGGTTCTTAGCAGTAAATATATATATATTGCTACTTTTTAATAACTAGGAACTGGTTATTAATTTCGATAATGAATTGCGAAGTAATATAAATATAGGAGACTGGGCTGTCTTCAGATTAATTGATTGATTTAGTTTTAAGTTCAGGGACTACACAATTTTAATGATTCTGGAAAGCTCATGTCAAATAGCAAGATTAAAAGCTACAATACAATATAAATAAATAACACTCCAGCAATGATTGCTCTATGGCACTGTTTTGTAACTTCAGCAACTTTAAGAAGTATGGACTTCTGCTCCCAGAATTCCACAGTCAGCATATTGTCTAAGGAATTTTGGGAGTTGAAGTCCACATATCTTAATGCTGCCAAGATTGAGAAACATGGTGATTTCTATCAGGTCTCATTGAACCATATCTTTTATTCCAGTAGAGGTGAAAATGTTTTTTTTTTTAAATTTAAAAAATAAACTTTATTAAACATTAAAAATATATATACATAATACAAAACAATTCGTAAAATACGAAACCAAAAAGTTATACATAACCAATAAACGTAAAAACATAAACATTTCTAATTGCTTAGACGGTGTGTTTTTATCAAACAGTTTTCCAATACTTAATTCCTATATCTGGTATAAACTCCTATCATGACCTCTTCATATTTTCCCTTGCCTATCTGTTTACTCACAGGTTTCTATCCTTTATCCAATTATACCAGTTTTCCCAAACTGTAAAATATTTTGAGTCTTCTTTATCTTTTAACTTTTGGGTGAGTTTATCCATTTCCGCGCAGTCGTAGATCTTCTGGATTATCAAATTATCTGTTAGCATCTGATCTCCCTTCCAACATTGAGCTAATGCTATCCTTGCTGCGGTTATTATATGTAAAATTAAATATTTGATTTCTTTTGCAATTTCAAGGTGAAAATGTTTGATAAGACGGATTGCTAGCTGACTAATCCGTCTTTCTCTTTTTTTCATCTGGATTTTGGACCAGCAGTGAGTGGTGAAAATAGACCACTAAGTATCTTGGTTTAAAAGAACATATAAGGAACATGAAACAAGATCTGATCCATTCCAGGAAAGAATATTGGTAAAGGAAACTAGATAGGTAGTCCTCCACTGACCACCATAACTGAGCCTGGAATCTTGGTTGCTGAGTGAAGCAAATGTTAAGTGAGATGCCCCATGACTGCTTCGTTCAACAACTGCAATCCTGGCACTTCTGGTTATGGTCATTAAGTGATTGCACAAGTCATTAAATGGGCAGAGTGAGTGGCGCGGTGACCTAGAGGTGGAGCTTTGGCCTCACAATCAGGAGGCTGTGAGTTCGATCCTAGATAGGGGCAGATATTTCTCTCTCTGGGCATAATGAGAATATATCTGCTGCACAAAACTCCGTATTGGTGACAGGAAGAACATCCGGCCAGTAAACACTCATCTCCATTCAGTTGCCCAGACTCCACCCCAGAAGGGATTACAGGGTCATTAAAAGACCAAAACAATGGACAGAGTTCCAGGTAATGAACATGGGGTGCTGGTAGGGGGTAGGAACCTGGGAATCTTTACCTGAGCTGAAAATTCCACCAAAATTCAACACTGGCCTCTCAGGGCCTCCCTGATCTTCATGAGATACCCCCGTGCTGCTTAACTTATTGTGCTGCCTCTCTGGTCAATGCTTAGAGTTGACTTCCTCTTGTCTCTCGGGGCTGACTGAAAGAGTTGGCTGCCAAAAGATATTCCCTCTCCTTCATGTGTAGAAGGAAATGCCTTTGGCAAGGCAACTACCAGAGACTTCTCAGGAAACAACAACAGAATGAAAAACTGCTGGTGACCTTCTACCGCTGCACCATAGAGAGTATCTTAACTTGCTGCACCTCTGTATGGTTTGCCAATTGCACAGTGGCAGATAGGAAAGCACTCCAGAGGGTCAACGTCATTGCCCAGAGGATCATTGGTTGCCCTCTCTCCTCTTCAGAAGAGCTTTAGAGCTCCTGCTGCCTTAAGAAAGTTCAAAACATTCTCAAAGATCCATCTCATCCCGGGCACCCTTTTTTTGAATTATTACTATCTGGCAGACGGTACAGGATAATAAAAACAAGGACAAACAGGCTGAAAAACAGCTTATGTTCCAGGGCAGTAACTCTATTGAATTCTACTGTATAGTGCAATAGTAATGCAATATCAGGGGTTTTCAATTCAATGTATAGAATGTGAAGGATGTGTGTTTGTGTTTTATTTTTATAGTCATAATGTACACTGAAGATGGCATTTAATTTTGTGGTACGAGGTGCAATGACAATAAACTGAACCAAACTAAAAGAAAGCCTTCGGCAGGGGTGCAGCAACATCACACAAATCATCAGGATCTAAGCTACTTTTCTGCCCCCCACAGGAGGATGGATGTCAGGTTCCCTCGCTAGGAAGCTCTTTCAGAATCCTCTTGGTGGGCAGCACAGCAGCTTGCAATCTTCTCTGTCATCTTCCCCATTGACTTTCTGGAGAAGCTGGCAGAAGAGCTTGCAAATAGCAATCACATGATCACAGGGGACTTGACAACCACTCACGAATTCGAAGCTGGTACCTAGCATCCAGATGGCGATCATGTAGTAGCCAGGAGGGAGAGCATGACATTTTATGACATCTTGAAGTGCTTTATAGGCTGTAAAACACCCTTTCGGAGGTTGTTGTTTTGATGCTGTTATCTTCTTCACTAATCAGGTGGAGATTAAAAACTTCTTCTTCTCTTTTTTGTCCATGTCTGAAGCATCCCAAAGCCATAAATCGGAAACAGCCCTTGAGACACCAGCTGGATGGCTATGATCAACCACAAAGGATATCCACTCAACACCTAACCATGGATGAATGTGCTATCAAGGTGCCTTGTGTTTTAAAGTAGAGAGATCAATCCAATAGTTTCTCCTCAAACCTTAAGTGTTTTTGCTGATAATCCAGATGAGATGGACCTTCTGTAGTAGTTAATCTCCATCCTGATCTGGAAGGAAGTGTCCTTTTCTTTAAATACTAGTTCCACGACACGGGGATGTTTAATATCTTTGCCTTCACTTAAGATGAATCTCTGGTATGGAAGATTTTATTTATTAATTGATCCCTCCCTACATCCCTCCGTCCCTCTTTCTATCCATCCAGTGGTGGGATTCAATTTTTTTTACTACTGGTTCTGTGGGCGTGGCTTGGTGGGTGTGGTGTGGCTTGGTGGGCGTGGCAGGGGGAGGATCCTGTAAAATCTCCATTCCCTCCCCACTCCTGGGGGAAGGTTGCTGCAAAATCTCCATTTCCTCCCCATCCCACTAACCTGCTTTCCAGCTCCGTTCTCCTGTGCAGGGCAACCAAAGAAGACCCAGCCAATCAGCTGGGAGTCAATGGGAGGCAGGGAATAGATGGGGGCAGGGCCAGTCAGAGGTGGGGTTTGCTGGTTCTCTGAACTACTCAAATTTTCCACTACCGGTTCTCCAGAACTGGTCAGAAGCGGCTGAATACCACCTCTGCATCCATCCATCCAATGTATTGGCTGTTGCTGCAAGGTAACTCTGGCCGCTTTTAATAATAAAAACACAAAACTATATAAATAAAGTACTACAAAAGTATAAAAGTACAAGATACAATAGCTGAAAGGTAAAGTCAATTTGCAAATAGGATGAGCAGGGGGAGGCGGGATTTGATGTTAATCTATCAGTCCCTTGCAACGTGAAGCCCGTCCTTTGGAACCCCAAACCAGCTGGCAGAACCTTTGATCTTTAGGCTCTTATGGAAAGTCAGGAGAGTTGGAGCTGACTTTACTCCGTGGAGCAAAATGTTGCAGAGGGCAGGTACAACGGCAGAGAAGGCCCTTCTGGACCCCACCTGCTGGGTTACTCTGGCCAATGGGCCCCACAGCATGCCTTCTCTGCCAGCACATCCCGATGGGATGAAATTGTCCCTAAAGGATCCACGCCATGAATTAAGGGCTTTAAAAGTGATCACCATCACCTTAAATTGCACCCGGAAGCAAAGCAACAGCCAGATTTTTACTTAAAGGCAGGGGTGGGATTCGGCTGGTTCGGACCAGTTCGGGTGAACCAGATGTTAAATTTACATCTGTTGAACCGACCGGCTGCCCCACCCACCCCTCCCAGGAGCCTCCATGCGACCCATTTTGGATGCAGGTAAGGGCAAGGTCCGCATGGAGTCTCTGGGAGGGCGGAAAATGGCTCTTCCAGAAGTCCGGAAATGGGCTTCCCCATTTTCATCCTCCCAGAGGCCCGAGAGAAGCGTCCGGGCCTTGGGGTAGGCAAGAAATGACCTTCCCGGAATTTATGGCAGGCCATGCCCACCCAGCAACCCGGCAGCGAACTGGTTGCTGGGATTTTTGAATCCCACCCTTGCTTAAAGGTGGTTTTTTTTTTTTTCATTTATTGCTTGTACTCATCTTCATTGAAAGGAATTGTTTTGTACTTAAAATGGTATTCTAAATATTGGAAAGTTTTGAAAACCATGTTTATTATGTAGCGCACCCATTTTTTAAAATTCCCTTTGTGAGGTGGCGGCTCAAAAGACCACCAGGATTCGAAGTTGATCCAAGGAAAAAGGCTTTATTGAGTACACATCTGCAGAGGTGGGTTCCACCCTTGGCAGCTGGGAGGAACCCAGAGCATAGCATTTGCTCTATTCTTATACCCTAAACTACCGCCCCATTATGCAAATGGCTTGGTTTACAATCTACCTTTCAGAATACAGGTTACAATTCATTACCTTATATGGTGCATAGCACGCAGCCAGCACTTCCCTTACACGAGGGCATACACCAACATATCATGCGCGAAGTGCATGATAGTTCAACAGTTCAATCGGTACCTGGTACTTCAGAGACATTCCAAGGTGGGTCAACAGTTCAAACATTCCAGGATAGTTCAACAGTTAAATCAGTACCTGGCACCTCCCTACCCTAAAGGTGTTATGAACTAACAAAAACCATTTAATAAAACTTATTAACCTCATGTTAAGCAGGCTTGAAAACCTGCACTTTGGATTGGCCCTTGGATAGCGAACTGGGATTGGTCCTCACGGAGCAACCTGATTGGCTATTAGTTTAACATCTTTCATTGGGCAAAAGTTAAGCATGTGGACACAGGTCATTGGTTAACAGGTCAGTAGCTAGCTCTATAAAAGGGCTACTGCTGCCCAAGGTTTTTTGCTCTCTGTTTCTGATCCTTAATAAAGAGTTGAAGTTCACTAAGTCACTGACTCGTCTCAGTTACTTGCACCCATGCCCAGAATATAACAAAAGGTATTCCTTTCAACATGAGGTTTGAGTCACAAAAATGGATGCTTTGATCTAACACTTCTCACACCTTGGTATCTTTTACTCTTGTGGCATTTCAAAACATCCTTTTGAAAAAAAGCTTTGTTATCTTAACCTGATCTAAGAGTTACAGACGTGCGTGCCGATTAACTTCAGCATAATTGTTACATGCATTGGTTTGCAATTTCTAAGGTATGATGTTATGCGTTGCAGATAACCAACGGATACTTTTCCTGGGGAAGTGGCCTGGCCACATTATCCGATATTGATATCAAAATCCCAACAGGTAAATTAATCTTGCATATTCAACACCATTTTGTTCAGCACCTTTTCAACTTCCTCTAGATTAGGGGTGTGAAACTCGATTTCATTGAGGGACGCATCAGGGTTGTGTTTGATCTCGGGGGTGGGGGGGGCAAGTGGGTGTGGCCAGCTTGACGTCCACAGCCTCTGCCAGTGAAAACAGAGCCCCAGTGGCCACACACCACCCTCCCAAGCTCCATTTCTGCTGGCAGAGGCGCCGCGGGCCGATCCTTCTCTGTTTCCAGAGTGGGCCCACAGGCCAGATCTAACAACCCCAGGGTCAGATCCATCCCATGGGCCTTGAGTTTGACACCCCTGCTCTAGATAGTTAGAGGCATGTAAAAGGAACATGCATAGATTGACTATAAAATAGTTTACAAATGATCCAGAGTCACACAGATAGCGATATGAGCAGCAGCAGATATAAATCTGGTAGATATAAATCTGGTAGATGTTTTCTTAAGTTTTCGCGGGTACTTACATGTATGGTGTTCGGCTTGGTTCGGGTATTTTCCCACGTCATTGTAGTTGTTCTTTTAAAGTTGTAGCAACGTTTCAGCAGAATCTCATCTGGTGAAAATGTATCCAACCTTGAAACCAGAATTCTGGAAGTGCAAACAAAAGAAAGGAACGTTTTTCCATATGTGGTGGCAATGTATGGAGGTCAAAAAATACTGGAAGAAAATACAGAGATGGCTTTTTGAGATTACAAAATATAAATTGAATCTGGAACCTGAAACATTTTTATTAGGTATGATCAAAGGGAATTTGAGTAAAGATAAAAGATACCTTATTGTACACATCTTAACTACAGCAAGAATCACGTTAGCACAAAATTAGAAGAGTGATAAAATACCACCAAATGAAGTTTTGATTCAAAAAATAATGGACTGTGCTGAACTAGATAAATTCACAATGGAACTGAAAGGCAAAGAGGATCGAGAATACTATGCGACACGGGAGAGGTGGTACGAATGGGTGAAGGATAAGAATAAAAATAATGTATAGTTACAAAATAAGAAACGTATATACAATGACACAATAACTGTTAATGGAAATGAGATTTTTGTATTTTTTTTAATTTTAAAGAATATTTTTTTTAAAAAAAAGGATTTTTCGAAATGACCATCAGATTTCCTACATTATTATTAACACACTCTGATGCTAAAGACTTCTACTCTCCCTCCCCACCTGAAAAGAAATCTGTTCCAAGTGCAAAACACAAGCAGAGAGGAGTTTAACTTTCAGTTTCAGTTTCAGTTTCAGAGCACCAAGCAGCTTTAGTACAGAACAGTTTATCTAAGCCACACCCAGGCTCCTTGCTGTCTCCTTCTTGCTCACACAACAAATATTGCTTCAGTTTCCAAACAGCCCTCAACTCTCTCACACACTGACAGGACGTTAGCCAGATGAATATTGATGGATGCTGGTAGGCAGAGGGAGAATCCCCCCCCTTATTTGCCTCCCCAAAAACTAAGCCTGACCACATAGTTTCATAGCGAAGCATGGCTATCAAGCTAGTGTGCCTATAATCACATTCATTTCTATCTGAGCAGTTCTTCCATTGAAAGATTTGTGTCCATTCTTTTTATCCAAATCTTTTACTTCACCCCCCACCCCCAATTTTTATTGCAAAATGTACACCAACCCAAATAAACAAGAATCAGAACAGAAGCTTAGAAGGCAAATGGCATTTATTGCTGAAATATAGGAGTGTTTATGCATGTATGCAAGAAGCAGTTGGAATAATCATTAACTGAATACTCTAAGGGAGGAATACATTAAAGGGTTCAATTCTGATGTATTAATTTGTAGGCCAGATGACCATGATCGTAGGACAAGTTGGCTGTGGCAAATCTTCTCTCCTTCTTGCTATCCTGGGTGAGATGCAAACCTTGGAAGGGAAGGTTCATTGGAACCGGTATGTTTTCAAGTTCTTTAACTCGAACCAGGGTTACCTAGAGAGAGTCAACTCATAAAACATTTCTCTGGCTGTTTTATAGTTGCCAACAGAAAGGGAGGGCGGGGGAAAGGGGGTTTGAAAGAGCAGTGTGGCAGCTTGGAAATCGAAAGTACATTCCATTCATAGTTTTTTCAGAGATTGTAACTAGGCGAGTGAAGTTTTTGCTGCACAAAAATCTAATTGGAGAACATGATTGATGACTCTTGGCTATGGATGTGTCTCCTTGGAGAATATGAATTATGATACATCCAGAGGGGTGGGAGGGAAACCAGGGTCAAGGGTGACAGTGAATTACGTGTCTCAGAGTCGGCTACACCCAGGTCATGCTGACGTGTTAACTCCCAATAAATCCTTGGTAGTTTTGGAAGTTTGGCTCGAGACTCATGATTTAATTGGAGTAACTGCTGGAATCCTGAGAGAGATAGAGAGGAGTGAATCTGGGTAGAGGAGCTATTATAAATCTAGCGAGTCATGAACGGCTCAAGCAATGAATGACATGAGGGATAATTGTTGTGATCAATAAACCGGTCAGGGAACTTGATTAATATGACCTGTTTTAATAATGAAATTTAGTGCTGGAAGAAAGATCAATCCATAGTCTGTCATGAAAGGTACAACTCTTATCAGTCTAAATTATTAGGGGATTTAGATAGCATGATTTATGCTGGTAGCTTTCCTTAGGACTGTTTTTCCATTGACACACAAACCCATTAAAAATAAATACAGGACAGAACCATTAAAATTTCTGATTGGTCGTATTAAGTATCTCTGTTGGGAAGACATCAAGGAAAGTCATTTTTGATAAAGGAGAATATTTATAGCTCAAGGTTGAATTGTGGAGTCCTTAGTGCTCTCTGAGCTTGGCGGTTTTCTTGCAGACGTTTCATTACCCAACTAAGTATCCTCATCAGTACTAGAAAAAAATGAGGTTTCTCTTCTCTTCTCTTCTCTTCTCTTCTCTTCTCTTCTCTTCTCTTCTCTTCTCTTCTCTTCTCTTCTCTTCTCTCTCTTCTCTTCTGTACTCTACTCTACTCTATTCTACTCTACTCTTCCTCTCCTCTCCCTTCCTCTCCTCTCCTCTGCTGGTAACTCTTGGATACTAAAAACTTGACTCTTCCCCTCCCTTCCCCTCTCTACTCTCCCCTCCGCTCCCTATTTCCTGTGAAGCTGCTGGCTTTTTGCAAAGCTTTAAAAACCTAGCTATGTACTCGGGCTTGGGGCTCGGAATGTGTGAAGGGTCCCATGACTTGGCTTTAATAGTAACTGATTAATCAACACAGCTGCTGGTTATACCTATTTATTTTGTGAATGTTTTTATTGTTTTAATGTTTCTTTAATTGTTTAATTGTTCTATACTTTTAGATGTATGAGCTTACCCAAAGTCATTTGGCTGAATTGAACAGACATAGAAATTAAATGGATGGATGGAGGGAGGGAGGGATAGAGGGAGGGAGGGAGGGAGGGAGGGAGGGATGCAGGGATGGAGGAATGCAGATTTGCATTACAGATTGTCCTCTAAACTAAGGGTTGAGGAGGACCATAAAATGGGGGATTTGCAAGGTCTAATAGCATGATATTCAGTCATCTGTACCAATATGCTTAGTTTTCTTCTTATGCTTCACAATTAAGATTCTGCTTAGGGGTGTTGACCATCCCTCCTTCCATATTTGAAACTTCATCAGTTCGGTGGTATTGTCTTTTTCTCGACAGCTACTAAAACATTGTTTACTGTAACTTGCAGCATAAATGAAACTGAGTCTTCTGTTGAAGCAAACTGGAGGTATTACTCATCAATCTGATCCCTGAAACTCTACCCTTTTTTTAAACTCCTCAATCAATATCTTGTTTCCTTCCCTCAAATATAATAACTTCCTAGAATATATTAATCCTAAGCATCTACAGCACAGTGGTTCCCAGTCTTTGGGGCAAATGACTTGAGGCATATGAAGTCCTCATAATGGAATTTCTAACATGCAACAGAATAGAATAGAATAGAATAGAATAGAATAGAATAGAATAGAATAG